AAGGAAAGAGGGTTAGATGAAATGAAGGATTGTATCCTAACAAGAGCAATCCATTGGCTGAAAACTGTGGATATATTTGATGACTTCTCCTTTGATGATTTGTGGAGGAATTGGATAGTAATAGTTAACACTTCGACAAAGAAGGATAGAATTCTGTTAGAATGGATTCCGCCTTTGGAAGGTGTCATCAAACTGAACTTTGATGGAAGCAGCCAAGGCAACCCCGGGCAACCCCGGGCCTCCAGTTATAGGGGATATCCTGAGAAATAAGGACAACAACATAATTTCCCTATTCTCAGGACCAGTGGGAGTGGGGGATTCCACAAGGGCAGAAATCCTTGCTGCAGTACAAGGAATTCAGATTGCCAACCAGCTTGGGGTGGAGCATCTCCTAGTTGAAGGGGACTCTCAGGTGGTAACAAGGTGGCTCCTAAACTTGGATACCACCATTTGGGCCTACAAAGATCTCGTCAAAAAAGTAAAGTGGTTAACCAGCAATATGAGAGTTGAGGTAAAATGGGTTAGTAGGTCTGCTAATTCTTTGGCTGATGCTTTAGCCAAACAGGGGGTTTCTAGGGAAGATCTTTTTTATGCTTCTATGTAAGTTGTTATCAATTTGGAAATCTGTACTTAACTAGCCCGGAGAGGTTGCAACTTGTGCCTTTCCTTGGGGACTTCGTACTATTGTCTATTGCTGATTAATAAAATTATTCAATTATAAAAAAAAAGAAAATGGTTGGCTGAGGGTATATAAATTATAGATATGGTACAAGGTAAAAGAAAATTGAGGAAAAGTTATTTAAGGTCTCAGTAACAATGCCGGTAGTGTGCCAAGAAGCAGTTAGAAGAAGCAGGAAATAAAGCAATTGGTAACTCCAATGTTAATTCTTGGATTATTCAAGGAGGGGGATCAGGTAGGAGACAGAACTATGACCAGCACTACCGTGAAGAAATGGAATCCTGACATCGCTATTTTCCCAGGAACATCAGCATCAACGTAATCCTTGTCGGCTACATGAATCCCATTTTGCCATTCTGTTCTGTTCAGTTCCATATGCATTGTTAAATTATGAGCACTTAAATCATTTGTTACTACCTAAGCCAATGCCCTTTCCAGTCTGCATCTAGCCCTTCTAGCCCATCACCTTGTAACAGCTCACTTATTACAGGTGCTGTAGATGGTCTTCTCTGCATGTCTGCATGTCTTCTCCAGGAAACAAAAATGGAGCAAATCGATTTACACTATCAGAAGCATGTGAGGTTTCATACCCTGAGAGGCTTTTCTATCTGCTATCAACACAGTGTGGTATGGTGATTATTTGGGAGTTTATTTTTTCTCTTTGAACGATGTTTTCATCTATAAAAGGACTCCATTGATGAACAAGTAATCAGATTGAATGTCAGCCTGGAAAAAAATCAAGCATTAATATAATACAGTTTACACATCGATCACAGAAAAGACCTATGAAGGATGCCGGCATCCTTCATTCAAGGAGTGAATTTTTCTGTTATTTGGGAAAGGAGGAGACTCAACATCGAGATAAGTATATTGGACTCTACACCTTTTGTAATTAGTCATGGAATAATCAAGAGAGAAGAGAGGAAGAAAGAAGGAATAATCAATCATGGAATTGGGTTAATGGATGCACCCACTTCACCCTAATATATTAGCAATAATCATAACTACAAAGTAGCCCCTTGAAATAAGACTAGTTACAAGAAAAACCTTAGTGCCATGAACATATATAAAAAACACCCTCCCCCAAGTTGGGTTGTAGATATCATACATAACCAACTTGATACATAACACTTCATGTTGCACGGAGTTTAATCCTTTTGTAAATACATCGGCCACTTGATCTCTTGATTCAACAAATGGTATACAAATTTTACCCCTTTCCACTTTTTTCCTGAATGAAGTGCTTGTCACTTTCAATGTTTTTGGCCCGCTCATGGAGAACCGGGTTATGAGTAATACTAATAGCAGCCTCATTATCACAGTACAATGACATAGCATCTGCCTTCCACATACCTAGCTCAGTAAGGAGATTTTTTAACTATAACAATTTGGCAACACCCTGAGAAATATCTTTATACTCAGCTTTTGCACTTGACTTTGCCACTACAAACTGATTTTTCTCCAGGCGACAAGATTTCCTCCTACAAAAGTATAATAATCCGTAGTAGATCTCCTATTATCAATAAAGTCAGCCCAGTTAGCATCCATGTATCCGTCCACCCTCATATGAGCATGTTTAGTGAAGAGGAGACCCCTACCTGGGTGTCTTTTTAGACAGCCTTGAAATTAGTAGGTTTAGGTGAGTGCATATACTGACTCAGAACACTTATAGCAAAGGTAATATCTGGTCATGTAATGGAAAGATGTAACAACATTCCAATGTGGCTTTAGTATTAATGAAGGTTTGAAAACCATCTCCTCCTCACAACTTCCAAGTTTATGAATTGGATCCATAGGGGGAGTTAGCTGGTTTACACCCTAGCTTTCCAGTGTCCTTCAACAAATCAAGGATATAACTTCGTTGGGAGATGAATATACCCTTGTCAGATCGAGCAACTTCATTCCAAGAACATATTTCAAAGGACCGAAATCTTAACTTCAAACTGTGAAGCTAGGAATTTCTTCCTCCCAGTTTCTTGTGATTACACATCACCCACATACACAATGAGAATAACAGCCAACTCACCTTTTCTTTTCACAAACAATGTATGATCAGCCTGGCACTGCTCAAAACCAATTAGGTGGACAGTACAATTAAACTTCTCAAACCAAGCCTGAGGGTATTGTTTCAGCCCATATAAAGATTTCTTCAACCAACAAACTTTGTCCTCACTACCTTGCACTTGAAACCATAGTTGTCAAGGCAACACCTAGGCGACAAGGTGCCCTTTGAGGCTCGCCTTGTCTAATTGCCAAGCA